AAATTGTTTGAGTTTGCAACATCTGTGATCCAGCTTCCAATTTTCCTTAAAACTTGCTCCAAATCATTTTTATGTGAGCATTTTTTTGATGCTGCGAGTGTGCAATCCAAGTTTCTTAATTAATAGGTTATTTATAGTTCAACACACAGCCTATCCGCTGACTTATGGTCAAAGTTTAATAAAAATATAACTTTTATCTTTGCAGATAAAAGGTTCCCTAGGTTCTATATATGTAATTATATCCCAAAGGAGATGTTTCTCAATAATTAGAATGTTGGTTACTTGCTATGGGTAGCAAAGGTTTCCCCTTTGTGGTTTATTAATTAATTAGAGATTATTGTTATTCAGGGTAAAATATGTTATGTGTTTTATTAGTGATATAATATTATTATTACCATGTGTTAGGAAGTATTAATTATTAGATTATTATGAACATGATTATTCTGACTTGGTCTAAAACCAAGTCTTTTTATACATCTTGGGGTATTACAAATAACATGACTTTAGTTTGTCCAATAAACTATGCTTATTAATGTAGAATAAATATTTGGGTCAACTGAACATTACAAATAATAATTAATAATTTAAAGTAAAGATTTACATCAGCTGAACAAGTTCTTGAAATATAAATATAGAAATATGAATATGAGTAATTGTACGTGTGATACTGCGCAATGGGAGGCGCAGTAGTTTCACAAAATATAATATTAAAAATAAAGAGAAATGATGTCGTTATCACGTGACTTCCGCAGTAGTTTGGTTTGGTTGGATCGGAAACGCGGGACCTCTATATCGGTCCTTATTTTACTATCTCACAATGCTTTTCCTTTACCTGGTGGATTATAAATATGACATTCATTTTTATAACAACAATCTTGACAAATATATCTAGGGAGAGCATTAGCAATATTGTTGGATTTTTTGTTTAAAATTTCATTAATTGTAGATGGACATGTAAATTGACAAATGCATGATGTTAAGATCTTCCTATTACTTATTTGTCAAGAATGTTTATCACAATAATTGCCTCTTGAATAAATATTAAAAATCTTATGGCAGAATAAACACCTCTTTGATAGCATTTTTGCTTGATTAACTAATTTTTCCTGTTTTGATCCACTAGGATAATATGAGGGAGTTTGATCTAAGTTAAAAATGATACTTACAGACTCCAAGTTTTCCTAACTCCTTATCTGCATCCTTGACACTAACTTCATTAATTTCCCATACCCCAATGCATTGTTGTAGCCTTCTATAACTATTTTGAGTGCAAGACATGCTACATCCTTTTTCTAAATCAAAAATCATTAAAGAACATTGTGGAAAATAGTCATCATTGCTGTCATCACCAATTGATATTTCATTGTCTTCCTCAAAATATATTTGAAAAATAAAAATTTTAAATTCAATAACTTATTTATTTTAATAAAAATAACAATTAATTTGCAATTCATCAGAAATGGAAAGAAATTATATAATGCAAAATTTCTCAATTTTATAATAAAATAATTTTTATTATAATAACTTTATCTACTGCTGATACAAACCTTATTATCAAGTGTCACATTCATGCATAATAAAAACATTAGTATAATCTATAATATTTTTTTTGTTAAAAAATTATATGCCAGTAAAGTATGCATTCAAAATCACTAAATTTTAATTCGAATAAAACGAATTATTCAAATAAGAAAATTGATTCGAATAAGGAAATTGATAAAAAAATTAATTTGAATAAGGAAATTAATATTAATATTATATTAATTTGAATAAAGCAAATAATTCGAAAAAATTAATTCAGATAAAACAAATAATTAAGGTCCAGTTTAAATTCAAGCTCACTGGAAAGATTGCTATTTATTAAAAGAAACATGAATCTTGTTTCAGTCTTTCCTTATTAGTTTCATTTTTAATTTCAATTTTTATAATAATAAAATCAATATTAAACCTTGTTGTATATATAGTTTGAATATTTAAGTAATTGAACAACCCATGATTCCAAATAATCTAATAAAATGAATGAACAAACCCAAGATTCCGATAATGAATAAAACAAATAAAACAAATAATTTGAATAAAGCAAATTAAATTTTTAATTCGAATAAACTTTTAAATTCGAATAAACTTTTAATTCGAATAAAACTTTTTAATTCGAATAAATTTTTTAATTTGAATGAATTTTTTTAATTCGAATAAATTTTTTTAATTTGAATTAATGATAATAATAATAACAAGATTTTTATAACAAAAATTTCGACTAAAATCCTTTCCATAAAAAGTAAGTGATCGCCGATAAATTTTTTTTGAGAGACTGTAAATTATGTAAAGGTAAAGTTAAAGTTATAGATGAAAATAGGGTAGATTGTTGTGCTAGAAGGATATTTTTCGATGCAACCTGATTTTAAAAATCAGAAGTATGCATTGGAAATATGATGAAATTCCAAAAAAAAAAAGGTTTTTTTGTAACTGCCGTAGAATCTGTAGGCCAACATTCAGAGACACAGAAGTTGTTTTTCGCCTCATTGGCTTTTATCCAAAAGATGACACAACAACGACAGACTTGCAACGATTTGCTGCACAAGACGTAATTAAAATAAATGGGAAGTTTACAATAATTGAAAACGAGGAAGGTTTATTATTGATCCAGGTAATTTTGACTTTGACGCAATGTAATTATATTTCAATACAAGCGATGAAGTCGCTTGACAATCAAGATTTCTAGTTATATACATCAAAAAGGTTGGTCAGGTATATGTAGTAGTCAACGATTTATTAGGGAACCAAAAACTCCGTATAACAAATTTTTTTCCAAAATCTTTTTATATAAAAAAAACCATTAAAAATATTATAATCAGTTAATCAGTTAAATCAATTGATTGGTAAAATTTTAATTTCATTAAAGCAAGACAGCTTCAAAATTTTTAACGTTAGCATATATTTATGGGTGAAATTGTGTTCTTTTTTCTAATGTTATTGCAAACCTTAGGACCAAGTTATATATTTTGGTATGGGTCAAATCATATAACAACAGGAATTTTTGTTACTGACCTATTTATCAAGTTTGTGGGTACTATCTATATAGGAATGGAATTATTGGAAAGTTGGCAGAGTATGCTGTCAAAAATATAGGTCCCATAGAAGAATTCCCGAGTAAATTATTCAGGAACTAAAACATATTTTTAAATTGTAATAAAAAAAATGAAGATCTACATTTTTTTAAATTTGAACTATTGACGTGTGCACCATAAATTTTTTTCCCTTTTAAAAATGGAATTTCCAACTCAAGGGAATCAATGTTCATTTAATACTTGCAAACAACTTGGTAAATTAAACTCAAACTATTAATTTATATTCACAATTGTTAACCTGTAAAAAAAAATTAATAATAAATTATTAATAATAATTTGTCAAAGAGATTTCTTACCATTTTTATGTGCTAGTTGTAAATTAAAATATTGGTTTGTATTTTTATTGATTCAAATATACATATATATTTTTTTAAAATTAAATAAATAAGCAAATATTATCAAAAAAAAAAAAAAAAAAATAAAGTTTGGATCATAGATATCCAGATTCTCATCAATGTTCACATTGGGAAATTGACAAAAAGGTAAGCTGATATATATAATATTTATTATTGTGAAAATTTATTTTTTACTTATTACATATAACAAATAGAACGCAGAAGTATGCTTGAAATGTTCCAGAATGATTCTAATTCCACAAGGCAAATCTAACAAAGAAATTGTATATATCATTGGTAATGATTATATTTTTATAGCATTTAAGTGTACATGTTTTTAATCAAACAAGAGCTTTGATTTAAATTTAGTTAGAGGAGCATCATTCATCAATCTGTACTCTGCATCTACTTTCTACTTCTGAATTATTATCCAAACAACAATGCAAACTCATTGAATGTGCTAACAGTGGTGATGGTTCATTGGTTTATGTGATTTGTGATGGATGTGGAAATAATTTTTGTTTAAAGTAGGTAAAGCAAGTAAATAATTTACAAGCAAAAGAAGAAGGCAAATGTTTTATTTTATTAATTATTTTTTTATTTTTCAAATAAATATATTAAAGACATCGTCATCCATTGGCTCATAATTGTTCTTCATTGAATGCTAACTCTGAGAAAAAAGCAAAAAGGCGTGCTTTTGCAGAAGAGATGATAAAAAAATATATTAAAAACCCTGGTAATGATATTAAAAGTAGTGATAGATCTTTTGAGGGAAATGATGATACAAAAACATTGTCAACAACAAAAAAAACAACTAGTAGCATCAACAGTAGCAGCAATAATAATAATAGTGGTGTTAGTAATTCAATAACAAAAAAGAAGGGTAATAAAAAGGTTGAATTAATGTTAATGAAATCTAAAGCACAAGTAATTATAAATATAGATATGTTTATTTCTTATGATAAAAAAAGGTTTATATACTAAGAAAGTATTAAATCATAATAAATATTTAGGGTAATCCCTCAATACCAATGACAGATAGATTATATCTTTTGGTTAATTTTCCAAGTGATTCGAATTTAGCTTCAAAGCCTTTATTTTTCAATAAGGTAATTTAATTGTAATTTCTTTTTCACATGCCATAAAAAATCATAATAATAAAATCTAAATTTAATTTATCTGAAAGGATTGGTCAGTTGGAAAAGTTCTTGATCAGATTGCAATAATTGGTAAAATCAATAATAACAACAATCATATTTCAATGAATGATCCAAAAGTAAGCGATTTATATCTATATATTATATTTATATTATTATATTTACATTTATACTTATATTTATATTTATTTTCCAGAGATTGGTGTTAATAAACAAAAAATCAAATTTAACCTTAGAATCAAACAAAAAATTAGAAAATGTTGTTGAGAATTGTGATGATGTGGTTTTGGAAAAATTAGGAAATTTAAATGAATTATTGATTTATCCAACCAACAATGTATTGTAATAAATATTCTTTGATTCATTACATTATCACTGCATATGCTCATTCAATATAGTACCCTTTTTTTAAATTGTTGTGTGACAAAGTGAACATTCTGTTCAAAAAATTTTTTTATTAGTATTAGTGGTGGAAATACTTTGCTTAATTGAGATTCCATATTATATTAAAGCACAATAAATTGGTTTTAGTAACAATTGGTCAGCTTCAAAATACTAAAAAAAAATTTTCATGTTGCTTTAAAGGTGCTGACACATATTAACTAATAGCTTACCCCCGTCCCAGAGACATTTTGATCACATGTAGGTACCAACAAAGCACAAGTGAATTAATTTTATTTAATGAATAAATCAAACATTTTAAAAGCAACATTGGAGTAAAAAAATTTTCCTTTATAATAATATATTATGATCTCTTGAAAATTCCTGGGTATGATTTGCATTGACTATTTCTTGACCAAACAACCTATTTGGTTCTGAGTGTATAATAACTCTTACTTATTTGAAAATTACAAACAATGCATCCTGTTAAAGGAAAATCTAAAGAACAAAACTTGAGGATTCTTGATGATTTCTCTCTTCTCAATCACAACCAAATTGGCCTCTTTTTGACAAAATATATTTAAGGAAATGTATGAGAATGTGAGAATTTTATAAATATAAATAAATATTACAGTCAACCTCCCTAAATGCATCCCCATAAATGCACACCATCTCTAAATGCATGCACGGTTCCCAACTATATAAAACCATCCTCCCTAAATGCACGCCCGTGACTTTCACGTGATTTTATGTATAACATTAATTTGGCTTTGACTTAATTCCCAAAATCTCAATTTTTAATTGTCTTGACTCAATTACCTATATGTTTTCCATATGACTCAATTAATTGCATCAAAAAGTCACCCAATTGAGCATGTTAGCCAAAGTTGGCTCTCTTAATAAATGATCATCACTGAATTTGAAATAAGGTTACTTGCTGAAACCTCTTAATGACTGACAAAACTCTGAAAAAACTAATGAACAATTAGTATACACCTTGTCAAAATTCTGATGATTGACATAACCCCCAAATACGAAACTCTGCCAAAACTCTAATAAACAATTAATGAGTAACTTGTTGAAACTCTGTCAATTGATTTCTGGAGGAGTTTCGTCCACAACCTTAATCTGAAATGACGAATTAATTTACAAAGATGCTGAAATTAAATTTATTAGTTGCCAAAACTATATCTGAAAAGAATATTGTAAATCTAAAATTGCTTGCTAAAATTGATTTTTTTAAAAACCATTTTGGCTAACATGCTTATCAACCTATTTTCTACCATAGTTAACAAGTTTGGAAACTGTCCATACAATGAAAAGCAAAATGAGTTAATTCTCTTGAAAAATATATTAACCTAAAAAAAATAAATACAATGGAACAAATTACAATAGATAGATTCATGATTAATAAGATAGAAGACAGATAACATAAAATTTATTGTCAAACCCCCTCCCCCCAAATTTATATACCTTCAGATTGAACTGTTATATCAGTTATAAAATTTTTTATTTCAAAGGTATATTTAAACAAAATTTATAGTAAGAAAAAGCAGATATATATATAAAAAAAAAGAATACATCTCCATTCATCTCCTCCTTGTTTACCACCTTAAGTGAAAAAAATTAATTCAATACACTTTTTCTTTTTTTTTTTACACATACCAATGACAGATAATCAAATAGAATTTGAATAAATAAATAGAATGGAATGAACGAAAAATAATTTTTTTTTACGCAATTTGTTCATTACCTTCCACCAAACTCTCTTAACACCTTCCCCACTTGATAAGTCTGTTCATGTGATTTTTGTAAATCTTGAGATAATCTTTATTATTTTATAATTCAGTTATAAACTTTAATATTTTATTATCTTACTATTACAGCAAGAGATTACATTGGGATTGATTGCGACATATTATTGTGCTTCGGAAATTGTTTTGGCACTTATTGATTACCGAATCAGTTAAATTGTTAAATTGAGATTGAATAAACTTTATGGACTCTGGTTTAGGAACTGAAATGCACATCAACATCTAATAAAATTGCTTTAGAAGGCATCCAGAGCCTATATAATTACTTGTAACAGAATAATGATACATAGTCAAACCTTGTTACAGCGGATGAACGAGATATGAATATTAATATTATATGAGAAGCAAAAATTTTAAAAGCCGTTATGACAAGAATTTAATTATTATTATAGTCCGCTGTGACAAAGTTTGACTGTACAAGTGTTGTGAAAATCAAATTTGCGTCAATTTGAAATTTATTAATATTGATTAAAATTGAATTTCACGCGCGTGAATTTCAAATTGACGCAGATTCCAAATTCACGCACAACGCAAGATTTAAAATGGAAAATTGATAGAAAACAAATAATTTCTTTAATACAAACCGGTATGGATATTTATTTGTTGTTTTTTCTTCTATCTGTTTATTAAATTCAATTATTATTATTGATTTTTATTTTTGTTTTGCAAAAATTGCATATTTTGATAAGTCGAGCTTGCCTATTTTATTTTAAATTATTTCAGAGATTTTTATCCATTTCGGAAAATTTGTGCACCGCTTCTGGGAAGGAAGAAATAATTTTTTTTTGATCCTCCCTATAATTAATTAATTATTTTGTGAACCTCAGAGATCTGGATAGACATACGTTATTGTTTTGAAATCAAATTCCTTAAAAAGTTTAATTTTGCATGGTCTTGGTATTATTTATTACTTGGGCGATGGAATTGTTTGTTTTATGTCAATGATGATATAAATGCATCGAATAATCATTGTGATGGATGCGGAGACAAAGGAATTCACATATGAGAAAAGGATTAGAGAGTAATATCATGTTTGTTTGTTTTATTTTTTATCCGACCAAGATATATTTAAAAAACAAAAAATTGCCAGAATAATTGATTGCACGGAATCCAAGGTTAAACTAGTGTTTCCGATCATTAATCCCCCCTTTTTGAATAATCAAATATTAATATCCGAAAAGAATTATGAATATTCGAAATACATCGGATGATTTTTGGTAATGGATGGAATTTCAAATAATCACAAGTATTTCAAATAGTCATAAAATATTAGTTGTCATTTGTCAAGAAAGATTTCAAATTGAATAATGTATTTTCAATAGTCATAAATATTTTAGATATTCGAATAATGATAGATAATAATTATGAATATTAATAACACTTTTATTTTTGATCAGAAACCCTAGATTAAGCCAACTACATTATTACATGTTTCAAGATCAATCAAGCTATTATTTGAATACATTGATGCCCTGTTGTAATCTTATTGAAGGAATATATCATCTTAATGAACCTTTTCTTGACGCATGTTCACAAGAGCTGTATACGACCATTCAGTCGCTCTTTCGAAAAAATCTGAAACTGATCTGTAAAATCTCTTTGACTTACTTGTTATTTAGTTTCTTTCCCTTATCATCATCTTTTGGATAATAATAATCATTTTCAGTATTTGTTTTGTCCCCTCCGAACTTAGAACAAGAAGGAAGTATATTTAAATAAGATAAATTAGAATGACAACAACGGGTTGCATTGATCACTGCCATTCTTTTAACAATAACTAGAAGGATGAGTCACGTGCAACCACACCACCGTTCTATTTAATAATAAATAAATAACACCGTTTTTTCCAACAAGTTTGTTTTTGCGTCTTGACTTTTTTTTTTTATCAGTCACAATTAATTATTATTATTACAGTATTATAAACGGTTTATGGGTCGTAGAAAGAAGCCACCATTATTATTGTTATTTTTTTGTGGGGGGGGGATTTCTTACCTTGTTATTTTATATAAATAAACTTGTATCGTTTTACTTTGCACATAATCATTAATATTAATAATAAGATGACAAAGGATAAAGAAGAGCAACATGATTATTGAAAAGAAACATTTGATGCGAAACAATTCAATATGAACATTTGATTATAGGAAAACTGGCAGATGTCAAGGCACACACACTACCTTGAACACTTGCAGTTATTCTCTTACATTCATTGTGTTCACAAGGCTAATCTGACTGCAAGGCCCTCGATGATATGATGATGCAATTGAATTCCAAGGGGGGGAGGTAAGTCCTGGAATCTATTGAGATTGTTGTATTGTTGTCATCAAGGATGCTTCGTGAATCTTCCCTCACACCTGGGCCGGGATTACCCGGATATGTATGCTGGCCGAAAATTTTTCCGCAATGATCTCACCTTCTGAGTAAAGATAGCTGGCTCTGCAACCAACAAGTTGCAACTATGCTGAAAAGTTGTAATGTTAGGAAAGGCAACTCTGGGTGTACAATTTGGATTTTGGTATGTTCTGTGCAAATTAATTATTCCTGAAATTCGAGGAGGGGTGATTGAAATAATATGTAATATAGTGTAGACTATTTATTTCATCTAGGAAATGTAGCTAGTAGTGTTGTAACCTCCTAAATTGCAGACACCAACTTTACTCCCAGAGGGAGATAACACACATGAGTGCTGACTCTTGTCAGTGATCAATGCTTATATGGTAACAGCTAAGGCATGGCCTGGGGGGAGATTAGGGAAAATTTTGTCAATCTTATAAAAGCTTTTCAACATGTTTAAGACTCTTTCACCTGTGGAATAAATTCCATGGTGTCCTAATTGTCGATCATTATCTATATTTATTTATTGTTTTTAAGAACTATATATTATTAATATATATAATTGAGAAGGAAAATTTTTTTTATCCTCCTTAACTCCTTAACAGCACCCAGTCAAACTTAGTCCAAGGAGTGAACAGATTTATTTATTTATTTATTTTTTATTTTGTTAGTTCCTTAAAAGGTATCATTTCTGTATGGTCTTGCTTGGTATTATTTATTGCGCA